TAAAATTAATTAATTTTTTTTCATAACTTGAAAAATTAATAACTGAAAGTGAGGGGGGGTTTAGGGTTTAAAGACCTTTACGAATTGGGCAAACGTTGACTTCATTGGATGAAGTGGAGTATAATGTGCAAGCCTAAAAGTGAAGGGGGGGGGGGTTTAGGGTTTAAAGACCTCTACGCATTCAACCTTGCATTACTTGCCAAGCAAGGATGGCGTTTCATCCAACAACTAGATTCTCTTGCTGCACATGTTTTCAAAGCTCGATACTCTCTAAAGCTAGACTTTTTGCAAGCCCCGGTGAAGACAAATGCGTCGTATTGCTGAAGAAGTATGGCGGAGGCTCAAGTGATTATTCGAAGGGGTTCTAGGTGGTGGGTAAAGGACGGTACACAGATTAAAATCTGGGGGGATAGTTGGCTGCCCAGAGAGAGTTTCTTTAAGGTTTTAAGTCTTATTCCTGTTGGAGTGGAGCATGATACTACAATGAATAGTCTGATGGTGGATGAGGGGTGTCTCAAATGGAATGTGGATTTAATTAAGTGCATATTCTCTAAGGAAGAGACAAAGTTGATTTTGAGTATCCCCTTGAGTTTTTTCAAGCCACCAGATAATTTAATTTGGGTTGTGGAGAGGAACGGAGTATTTTCAACAAAAAAATGCTTACTTTGTAGCTCGGTCTTGTAGAAATATAGGTGGGGATGAATCAACTGGCTCTGAAATGAATGGGGAGTTAAAATATACGTGGAAGACTTTGTGGAGAACTTGTGTACCATAGAAGGTTAAAATATGCGCATGGCGGTGTTAGACTAAGTCAAGCCCACACCGACATTCCTGCAACTTGAGGAGTCTTCATCAGTTCAACCTCTTCTCTTTAGCTGTTCCTCGTTTATAGGATTGTTGACTTTTTCAAATGTTTGTTGTAACTAAAGTTGCGCATGCAATTTTATCAGATTTGTAATTTTTGAATAGTCCTTGTATCTCGGGGTTTTCAAACCCTTTATGTAATCCTCAAGTCAATATAAATACATGCATCCCATCATTAACTGGGTATGCAATTGAAGTGAAAGAAACTGAGTCTTTAAAGTTTTACATGGTATCAGAGCCTTACTGTCTAACGACAAAAGATCTTCTTTTTTTCCTCGCTTCCAATAGCTGACAACAATGGTACTTCCTCTCAACCCTCCACTACCGTCACTTCAAACACTCCCACCCATCCCTTTTCCTCCATGACTACCATGGTCCACATCAAGCTTGATAGGAGCAACTACCCACTGTGGTTGGCCCAAATCGAGTCTTTAAAGTTTTACAGGCGGTGCTGTCTAAACACCCTACCAACTAGAGCAAATTTGAAGAGAAGGAAGATCATCACTACTGAAAATTGTCTTTCCTGCGATGGAGACCCGGAAGGTGTTGAACATACGTTGTTGGAATGCCCAAGATCAGCGTCTATCTGGTTCTCTAGCCCATTATGTTTGAGGATGGAAAGGCATATCCATGTGGTGGTTTTCGTATGTGGCTGGTTGAGGTGGCGGGATTACTTGCCCGTCAAAGCTTTGACTTAGCTTTGAATCAGGTGGATATCAACGGCAAATCCCAAGCTTGGTTGTAGGAATTTAGGAAGTGGCACGGTTTCAAGAAATGCAGCATACCGTCAATCCCTCAAAAAATGGGAGAAACCTGATGTGGGTTGGCTTAAATGCAAATTTGGTTGTGCGTGGGATGAATTAGGTGAGCTAGGGGGTATTGGCGTGGTGATCGAGATGAGAATGGTGCTTTTGTGGCAGGTACATCAATGAAAATTCGAGGGGTCTGCTCGGCAATGCTGGTTGAGATCATGGATGCTCGGGCAACAATACTTTTTGCTCACGACCTGGGAGTAACTCATTTGGCAGTGTATGGGGACGCAATGATGGTTATCAATGCTCTTCAAAAGGATGCGGCAACTCCATGCAATGGTACCTTTGGGAATATTTTTTGAATGATGCTAGTCAATTGTTGAAGTCTATTCTGAATTGGAAGGTCACATTTGGTCGACGGGAGACGAACAAGATTGCACATCGGCTTGCGAGATTGGGCTTATTTTTTTATTAAGATAGTATTACTATTTAATTTAGAGGTGCGAAATACTCTTTTTCCTTTGGTCGAGTTGAAATCTCCGACAAGGTTTTTAACAAGGCTCATTATTAGCATCCTATCCTATTTGATTGTACGTTTTCCTTCGTACTTCATCCAAAATAAAATAAAAATAATAATAACCGAAAACAAATACAAACAACTAAAACCTGAAAACTGAATAAACGGGTATAAATACCCGCCCGCAGCCGACGCACTAGTGTCATCACAACAACCAAGCTTCTGTCCAAAACACCGCAAAAAATGGAACAAAACCTCTCCGCCCAAACCCTCCCCAACCACCGGAGCGTCGCCTCAAACGACGACGACGACGCACCGACCCTAAGCCTTCAAGCCCTAGAAGCTCTGAAGGAGTTCCTAGCCGAGCAAAGCCAGTCATCACCCGACACCGCCGCCGAGAGCCAAGCAACCGATTCGACCGGTCCGGCTCTGATCTCCGAAGACTGGAGACTGAGTCAGTTCTGGTACGACCCCCGCACCGCCCAAACCCTAGCCCAAGAGGTCCTCACTCTCTGCAACTCCGCCACCGCCTCCGCTCGGGTCGCCTGCGTGGCTTGCCCCTCACTCTACGCCTATCTCAAGGTCCTTTCATCTTTTCAATATCTGGGTTTTTATCAAATTTTAAATCTTTTGTTTGATACGACTGTATTGGGAAAGAGCGGATTTGAGTTAAGCCACACAATGGGCCTGCAGTAATTTCATATTGAACTCGCCATTCACGAGAGTTGAACACTTGTGACTAGACCGTAGTGCTAATGATTTTGGTTTCTTTATTTTTTTCACTGATTTTTGGATTTTCAGAATGCTGATTCCGATGTGTCTGTACAACTGCTCGAGTATGACAAGCGGTTTGAGCAGTACGGCAGTGATTTCTCGTTCTACGATTACAACCGGCCTGAAGATTTGCCATTGGAGCTGAAGAATGCTTTTGACATTGTGGTTGCTGATCCTCCTTACCTGGTGAGCAATTGCGAAATTATGATTCTTTTATGTCTTTTGTTCCGATAGTGTTAGTTAATCTTTTGTTGCTTCGGTTCAGCGAGTTCAATTTGTATCACCGATTCATGTTTGGCCATATGTGCGTTCTCACTATGGGATATGCTGTGTGTGTTATGTACAAAAGAATATGAATCTTCACACACTCCGTAAGAAGTCGAAATACATTTTGATGATTGTATGTACCGCGTTTAGTTACCGCATTGCTTTTCTACATCTGTTGTACAGACGCTGAGTCCAGTTGCATAGGTGGGGCATGTAGTTTCATCCACTTCCTCTTTTTCGTTGGATTCAGACTAGTTAGATTGGGGAATACGGTTCTTCAGACAAATGTAGCTGTGAACTTGTGGTATTTTGGATGTTTTGATGGTTGTGAACATATTGCTTATGTAGTATAACTGGTGTTTTCAGAGTCAGGAGTGTTTGGAGAAAGTTGCTCAAACAATTTCATTTCTAGCACGATCAGAAAAATCTCACTTGCTTCTCCTCACAGGTAAACATTAGCATGTATAATTTTGTAAAACGCAATAAGAGTATTGTCATTCCTACACAGGCTAAACGGTAATTACTTCTAGAAGACAAGAATAATACATTTTAAATTAAACAATGTTGTTTCTTGCACATTTCAGCTGAGTGCATCCAACTAAATTGTTATATGATGACTTACTTGCAGGAGCTGTGCAGAAAGAGAGAGCAGCTGAACTCATGGGATTGCATCCGTGTGGTTTTAGGCCTCAACACTCTAGCAAACTAGGAAACGAGTTTCGGCTGTTCACAAACTATGATCCTGAGACGAGATTAGAAGGGTGGGAGGTAGAGAAGTAGGAGCTCTGTATTCTCTTGTGACCATAAACTGGTAAGTGACGGTTGGCCGGTGAAAATTTCTTTCTTCCTTCACAATAATATGTAATGGGAAGTCTACATTTGCTGTATTATAAAAAAAGGTCGTACCCAGTGCACAAGGCTCCCGCTTTAAATTAGCATATGCTAAGAACGCAGTTAAGATATGCATGCTTAATTCTGATTGAGTTTGTTGTGAAATCTGAACACTATTGTGCTTTTTACGATCATTGGGGAGAGGCAATTCTATTAATGTGTAGTTAGGTCACATTAACCAAATCTGAAACGTGACCGTGTTTCGATGGGTGCAGATTCACAACTCGGCATCAAACTTTACTGCCTGCAAGGCATAGACGGATACTAGAAAGATGTTGGCGGAAGCTCTCATATTGCATCAAAATTCAAGACAAGCTAAAGCAGAGCAGTATTTTTTTTGCTACTCCTCCAGGCTGTGTTTTTATCTCTTCATGTTTTCTTCAACGCCCCCACCCAACTTTTCAGCCGAACTTTTATTTGCTAGTTTTGATTGCAGCATTGTGCACATACATTTCTGGAGGATTTCTTGCTTCTTGTATCTTTGAGGATAAAATTCCAGTGCGTTAAAATTTTATAAAACTCCACCTTGCTCATGAATTGAAGCACCTTTGTCTTTGGTAAATACCGAAAAGTGCTTTTGTAATCCAATATTAGCTGTCGTTCTAAAAGCACTGCCATATTGGAGTCAGTCTCAAAGTTTACTCAAATTTTCTTTTTCTTCGTTTTTTGAGTAATTAGCACTTTTTAAGATTTGTTACATAAATGATCATCTTTTATTAACGATAACATATTGATCATATATTACTAATTCAACAATGACATAATAATTACGAACAATGATCTAATGACAACATAACAACTGACCGCTACCGTTTCTGCAACAAAATGTCACAAAGTGATCGTTCCTGCCAATTGCCCTCTATTTTTCTAGATGAGTCAGCCCAACCTAAAGAGCACCCACCAGAGCATAACGAATTCTTGTGAATATATTTCTGTACGCAAAATGGAAGCAACTCTCACTGATACTCTTCAAATACGGTATTCATACTTACAAAATTAACTAGGAGATTTGAGTTGGGTAGCCTTGTTTCATGAAGAACCCCAACAATTACAATTTTTTACATATGAGCCGGAGTTACGAGACCCGAAATTAAATGACATGACAACCTAGCGAGATTCAGTCTATACAGAACAAGTTCACAACAGAGCTACTAGTTCAAATATTCCATCTACTTCCGCGATCATTAACCCCTTCTCCCCAAGTTTTTGCAAAACACATTGGTTAAGAAAGGGTGTCCGAGAAACCAGTAGCTACTAAAACGGTTGAAAAGGGTCAAGAGAAGAGGTTAACGACTTAATGTGTATCGATTTTGTCATGGTTCACCGATATAAACGATAGTCTTCTTTTGGAAACCTTGGATCTGTAACACCATACCTCAAATGCCTCAGTCAGGTCAGGATATTGAATATGTTCGTTCTCCAACCATTCGGTCAATATCTCTGCCTGTTCAACAGATGGAAGTGCAAGAATTATGGAAACAAATGTCGATTCCAACGATTGCCACAGCTCACTATCCATCTTCAGCGTAGGAGCATCATCACCGGTAGTTGTGGCGGAATCAATCACTGGTTTCGCAACCCTCACAAAAGGAAGCCATACCTTTACCATATGAAGCCGTTTTGCAGTTGGCAAAATGACAGTGCCGTAACCTATTGCCTCTAGAATCTTTGCTGCAACCTCAACAACCCTAAGCTTTGTCTCAATCAGTTCAGTTGTCGGCCTTGCTTGCTTTACAGCCTTAACTATTTTATCCGATGCATCCATCCAATTGCAGACAAGTTCCCTCATAATTTCCAACTTAGTTAAAATCTGGCACGCCCACGACAGATCTGATAAAAGCCTTTGAAATGATTGCATCTTCCCTCCATCAGAAGATAATTCTACTTCACTTAACAAAGCTTCTAATAGATTATTAAATCTTCCATATAGTCTCTTCACACATTCTTTCACCTCGGATTTAATCTCATCATCGGCTGTTAGGAGAGGGGCATCATCGTCTTCAGTTAGCATGTACTCAAGCTGCTCCTGGGCAGAAGACTTGAGATCATTCATGATTGGAAGAGGGGACGATGTGGCAAATCGGATGGTTGACAAAAATATCGCCATGATTGATGAGTGATTGACTGGAAGAAGACGGGCAAGAATTGGCTCCACTTGTGATCCCAAGCGTGGTATGATCTTTAAAATCTCCTCCTCCTCGGACTCTTCCCAGGGAACTGCTTCCAAGTAGTTCACACAAGCAGTTATGATTTGTGGGCATCCAAGCTTGACAGCCACCTGGAGAATTCCAATGGCGTTTTTTACACCATGCCACAAGTCATCAACTAAGCCATCTACTATGATGTAAAAAAGGCGGAGAACACTGACATGGTGGTCAAATTCTGACTCTTGGCAGTATACGTCAACGCAGTTGCGTGAGTCAAGAATCTGACATGTCGGCCAATTTTCAGAGAGGCGATCAGCGAAATACTTGCTCTTTTCTATGAGGATCTGGGAATGACAATATAGCCGATCATCCCGCCCATCCTCTGTGCGTATCCTCACAACAACATCACTGGTTGATCGGTCCCCAATCTGACTAGGAGTACTTGTTTCAGAACCCTGAAAGAAAAAGAACGTTAAACGAATAGAAAAAAAATAACATACTAACCATACGAAAACAGAAATAAGGATAACAATCACAAGAACATTTAGAGTTGACATTGTTGGGAAACTTACAAGATACTCCATTGAAGCATTAAGCACTAACGAATATACCTTGAACACATGTCGCGATCTGTACATAAACATGATTAGCAACAATGTTAGCGAATTCCATCATTAATTTCCATACAAACTCGATATTTTACAAAATTACTTTGATCGTTTTCCTTTTTAGTTTGGCTTGAAATAGTAACAATTATCAACATATTGAGCTGATTATTGCAAATTGGGTCATAAAAGAAATGAAATCACACCAAATGAGAAACATTATGCGACCCAAAAGAGTTGAATTGTGATATTCTGGGACACTTCCCCGAATAACCAAACCATTTCATTATTGCCAGGTGCAATAAAACAGTTGATTGCACGAGTTCTTGTTACATTTCAACTATATACCAGTTCACAGGAAAGCAAGACAAAATCCAACCGATGGTTCATCGAGCGAACAATCCATGTACTTCTAACTAACCAACTTAAGTCCAATTCTCAACTAGTTGATGTAGATACTTCTTACAATCTATGTGCTCGTATCGTATCAAAGTAAGATCTGCAGATCAAACTCTCCCAAACATAATCTAGAACTCCAACTGATCCGAAAACACGTCAAGTAATTAAACAAACAGAAACAGAAAGAAAACATTTAAAGTATCTTTGCGAGGCAAATTCTACTTCAAGCATAATTAGCTTCCTTGTTTTCACTTTCCAACAACCAACATTCTATCAAAATCGAACATAAACTAATACGTCATCAAATTTAAAAAGAAGAACAGAAGAACAAGAAGATGAAAACTAAGGTAAACATAACTCAGCAAACGAGGTCGTAACAGGAACCGGGAACACATTTTTACAGAAACTAATGCATACATAACTTACTTTTGAGGATGAAATATATTGATATATAACTACAAATTAGATTACAAATTTGATCTTTATTTGACAGTACCTTAATTTTTTTTCTTCCCAATATTACATACAATAGGGTAGACATGGCACAAAAATGAGCGCAATGGCGTTCTAGGATTCATATTACCGATCTTACTTAGTGGGATAAGGCTTGGTTGTTGTTGTGATTGCTGTATTACATAAATTAGGGTAGCGCTATTCACATACATTTTTTATTTCTCATTAATTTTTGTCCATTAATCTTCTTCAATTCATACAGGCGACAACTGAACTGGGCGTGTGAGAGGTAAAAATACGTGCGTGGAAATTAATGTAAGTATTGGGACTAAACCCGTATGTTTCAACAACATAAATTTACAAAAATGAGATAAAAAATATAGCAAGAAAAATAAAGGGAGAAAAAAATATAAAATACTAAATTAATGGCCTTTATACCAAAGCTTGTGATTAGGAATTGTTATTTCAATTCACAAACCTAACTAAAATTTAAGCCTAATTCTGATTAAAGGAACAACATAAGGAATAATTAAGAAGTGAAATTTACAAAAAAATGAGTTTGATAGTAAGTAGCAGATGCAGTGAGAATGATAAGGTATCGGCCACAGGAAGTGCAGATATGGGTGAGAGAAGTGAATACTGACCTGGATGTTAGAGTTGCGGAGGAGAGTTAAGAGGACAGGAAACTGGCGCCGGGAAGGGTGTGCTGAATCGCTGAACACAACGGAACGGCGCAGGGCAAAGGGGAGAGAGACAGAGAGCCTGTAATCAACTTGGTTTTTTTTTTTTTTTTTTTTTTTTTTATAAATATTTTAAGTATTTTTAATTTATTTTTCGGCTGCGAAACTCGTATTTTTTTAGATTTCAATAATGAAAACAATTTATTAAAATGTAATACTCATTGGCTTGTCTTTAATATTAGGCCAACTCCAAACCAATGCCTAAAACCTGTAATTTCCCTTTTATTTCCCCAATTCATTCAAATCCAAGTTTTAATTTGGATCTAAAACCTAAAAAAAAGCTAGATTTAGGCCAATATTAGTGGTGGAGCCCCATTCACATGGGTGTCTCTTCCACTTGTTTGCCAATAAAATTGAGCCAAACGGCTCTTTTGGTTGATCAACGGTTCACATTCAAATGGGTTGTTGGTTATCCAACGGTTCACATTTAATTTAGTTAATATTTTTGTTTTACATTTATAAATTTATTGAATCCAATAACTGCGATCGAATATGATCAAATCTAACGGTAAAATTTTTTTTTTCTAACGGCTTAGATTTAAATTCAACGGTTAAAATAATTATAAAAAATTATTTAACTCAAAATTCCCCCAAAAAACTCTATAAATACCTATATATTTGTTCAAACATCCATATAAAACTCACTTTTCTCCTATAATTCTTCCAATTTTTCTTTCTACCATCTTCCAAAACCATGTGTTTGCTCATGTGTCTTGTGTTTATACATCTATATCATGTGTTTCATATTTTTCTATAGTGTTTCATGAGTTTCATGTGTCGGTTTAGTGATTTTTCAATGTTTATCGGAATTTAAATATTTTTAGGTTAAAATGTTCATAAAATTAATTTAGGATAGTCTATATATATATTTTTAAAGTTAATTTAAAAAAAAATTAGCCTAAATTCATTTGTTAATCTAGGGCTAAATTTTTAGGCCAAAAGGGTTAGAACAGAAAAACTGTTTCTAGGTTAAAACCTAAATTTTCTGGGTTAAAAATTTTAGGTTTTAGGCCAAATGTTGGAGATGGTCTTATTAGGGGTGGGTTAAAAAAAAAAAAAATCAGACCGAACACCTAACCAAAACCTAAAAATTGAAAAAAAAAAAACCGAATCGAAGAAGGAAAAACTGAACCAAACCGAACTTTATTGGTTCGGTTTCAATTTTAGAGGTTCAAAAATTGAATCGAACTGAACCAAACCGAATCCCTTTACACTATGAATTTATGGCCATGATGTTTCTTTTGTGAAATTTTGTTGACAAGTTTGAAACTAACCCTAGGCTTTTGCAAGGAACATACTTGGTTCAATTAGGGAGGATATTCAATTGGTTATAGAGAAATTTTTTGGAAGTCTTTGGAACTTGAAAAAGCTTCTCTATTTTTTTACTTTTGGAATGGATACAGTGATCATTTTTCTTTACAATTAAGGTTGTTGATAGAATATATAATTGTATATGTATAACAATCTTCCCACTTTTCCAATTTTCTTATTATTAGTCTACCAATGTAAGCCTCTATATTAAATTCCATATTAAAAAAAAATTGAGTTTTATAAATAAATAAAAAAATCAAAATCGAATCGAACAAAACCAAACCTAGAAAAATTGAACTAAAAAAAATCGAACTGAAACGAAGTTTTGGTTCGGTTTCGATTTTGACAAAATACTGAACCGAATGAAACCGAGCACACCCTTAACTATTACTAGCATATTGGCTTGTCTTTATTATTACTAGCATATACCTACACGTTTTGTGTTTTTTTTTTTGTTTTTTTGAAAAGAAATTTGCAGAACCGAATCAAACCGAAAACTTTGCAAAACCGAATTGAAAACGTCCCGAACCAAGAATTTTGAATCATTTTGTACCTGAAACCGAAAAGTTCAGTATGTGATCCGGGATCCATATGCCTTTGTTCTGTAATCTTAAACCGAACCGAAACATACTTTATATATATGTAATATTAAATTATGTTTAAGAATTACGTGGACCGTTGGATTTGGTTGAAACTTAATCACAACAGTTCATACATTACCTAACTCACTCAACCTCACCTGAGTCACCTCACTCTCACAGTCTCACTCTGTGTCTCTCTCGTCTCGACTCATCTCCTTCGCCAACCCAAAATCGAGCTTTGCTTCGCCCTCTGATGTTGTATCCAAATTCCAAGGTAAATTTTTTCATTGTCAGTGTGGAAATCTGTAGTTATTAGAAAGAAGTGGAATTTCGCCACCCTCTTTCCCGTAGTCTCTTCAAAACAGTATTTCGTTATATCACGATCATTGTAAACCTAAATATTGAGCCTTTCTTAACTACAATCATTGGAAACCTAAATATTGAGCCTACCTTAACAATCCGTAATTTAGAGCCTCTAATGTCAGGCTATGTCACAGATCTTTCGGTCGCCTGCCTTGCCCATTTTGAACTCTAATGGAGAATTTCTACTCATTTTTATTTATATTTTTGTTTCTCCACACAAAAGCTTAATCTTGTTTAAGTTAAATTGTCTGTATAAACTATTTGTGGGGGGATTTGCTCTGTTAGTAGAAAAAGTAATATGCCTTATTTTTTTTGTATGCAAAGTGCAAACTGATTTCATCTCATGGTCGTCAAATGCTTATGTGCCTGCTAACTATTTGTGTGTTTGGACTCTTTAATGTGCCTGCTAAATGGTAATGGCAGTAAAATGCTTATGTCGTGTTTAATCTTATTCTTTTACATTGCCATATATTTTCTTAATTATTTGACATTTAAATCTGTTTCAGGTATGCATGGATCTTGCTGGTAGTGTTCCAAGTTGTTATGCCAAATGTTTCTTTACTGGGACACCTATGTGGCATTTTGTCAGGCTTTGCTTGTATGTTTCTCTCATTCTAATCTCCCGTTTTCTATTTTGTTGTGTCACACAAGGAAGTCGGTGATAATGTTTTGTGTTGGCTTTGCAATACAGATACTTACAGCTTATTAAATTTCCTCATTCCGGGAACATCCTTCTATTCTAAAATTGAGGCCTCCTCATTGTTTGTAAGTAAACTGCTTTTGATGATTCATCAATTTGGAAATCAACTATTGTTCGTCTTATCTAATTCAACTTATGCGTTTATAATTTGCATGCATTCCTAATCTTATTCTCTTTAAAACTTTATGCTTCCAGTCAAGTTGTGTAAGGCGGCCTAAATTTATTGTGTGCACTGGTGGGAATCCTTCAGCCTTCATCCCTACATATTCAACCCAAGGTACACCATGTAGGTAAGTATATTTCTGTTCCCTTTACTTTTCCTTGACTGATGAATTTTGGTAATTCGATTTCTTGAAAGACTACAGTTATCAGTGTTATAAGAGTTGTAAAATGATATATTTTATTTACCAGTGGATTCTCTGCTGGAAGTATCTGGAGAAACTTGTCTCCGTGGATCCCACGTAGGGAAACATCTGTACAGGTATTGTGTCTTTCACCTTTTGAGGATGTAAATGTTGGAAACCCTTTACTTACCGACCCCCTTTAGGATCCATGTTCTAACATCAAAATGTCACTTGTATGTTAAGAGTGTTGTGCCCTTAATTCAAACTTTGAAGTATGCACTTTGTTTGGTATAAATTCAGTGACTAAATTTGATGACTTCCTATTGCAATAATGCAGTCAGCACAAGACGGTCACAGGTTTCCTGGGAGGGGAAGAACACTTGCATCTGGTCGAAGTACTGTTTCTGATGTGGATTCAGAATCAAATTTACAGGCTAGACTCTTGGACAATAGCAACTCAGAACGTCCATCAGATGTGGCAGTTATTGGTACAGGACAGCAGTTATCTGATGGAAGGTACTAAAAAAACTTAATGCATACTTATAGCTTAACGAGTTTTGGGCATCTTTCACTAGCATTGCATTATGCATTCCCTAGATGTTTACATCTACTGCCTTGTTTTCTTTTTTATAAATAGTTTGCTTCACTAGTAAGAATGTTCTCAAAGTTCTAGTAAACGACGTAAATCTAAAGCAAATCCTAAGCAGTATGCATTTGGCTGGAAATGGTACTACCTCGGTTCCTCTTATTTTCAGGCGGGCAACACTAAATAGTGCAGCAGCAGAAATTCCTGTACACCACCAGGTTTGTCTCTTTAAATAATCATTTGGGTTTTCCCTGACGGTTCTTCCGGTCCTTCTGGATAAGTCTTTAACTTGTCTTTCAGATGCAGGATTATGTTGCTTCTGAAGAAGAAATCAAAAAGCTTGTATCAATGGGTTTTGAGAGGGTAAAATGTTAAACCGTGCTGTATTTCTCCTTAATCAAATGAGTTAACTATCCCATAGTATGCATTTTATTAGCTACCTTGATTCATATTGGTAAAGTTAGAGGACGCGGAAGTTTGCTATGACATACGTTACCGCGCATCATTAACGAGTTTAGTTGATGGTTAGCATTATAGTTCATGCTTTCTGTTATGAACATCTTCTAAAAACGTCTTGGTAATGGGCTACAGACACAGGTAGAAGTTGCCCTAGCAGCTGCAGATGGGGATCTTAACGTGGCAGCGGAAATTCTGAGCCAACAGGTCTGTCTTTCGAACTTGTTCGTTTCCCACGGGTGTTGAGAGTTGAGATTTCGTGCTTTAATTATGGGGATTGGGGTTTATTGCAGGGCTAAATGCAAGCAAGCAAGCAAGCTAACTCATTGACTTCCCAAAGACAAAGGATCACGTTTATGTAAATTTCCATGTCTGCCTACTGTATATTGTTTTAGACCCGTACCGTGAATATTTGATTCGGGGAGAAAGATTGTGAATATGGTATATGACTACAGCACTGACATAACATCTGTTAAAATGAAAGCATTGAAATGGTTTACAATGCTGTAGTTTCTTCCTTCTGCATGCTTCAGCCGTGCGTGGACTGTTACTGTTAGCTGTTGATGTGCGCGTTCTTCTGCGCTCCACAATGATCCACGTCCAACAGTCAATCGGCTGGCGACAGCCCTTTAGCAATTTTTAGGCGACTGTCCTTAGCACTCCTCTAGGTGATGCATTAGGTTCTTAACTCACTGGATTGCAATAATAAATCATTCTGCTTGTAATGTTCCCCTGAAAGCTGATCAAATCAAACTAACAGAGAGAAATGAGAATTTCGTGGCTATAAGTTAAAAGAAGATTCAATGGTCAAAGATTAATAGAAGATTCAATGGTCAAAGGTTAACAGCAGTCGGATCATTGAATAGTTGAATTGGTTAGATAGTTGAATCATTGAATTGAAAGAAATCAATGACGAAAAATTAACAAGTTTGAACATATTTTATTATCCACTTTAATGGTAAAGGAATGATTTCCACTTACGGGGTGATATTTTTTCACAAATGAATTTTTATTTCTTAGGTTCGATTTTTGTGAATTGTGAGTTCCTCCATTCCCATTGGAGAATCCCCTTGTTGAAAATAACCGCGTTATCATTGTGAGACTTACTTAAAAGGCCTTTCCAACCAGGACGTAGACAAATCACATGTGGATCTAATAGTTGTTCCAAAGGTAAAGCGAAATCACAACAGGCTTCCTATCTAATAGTTGTTCCAAAAGTAAAGTAAAATCACAACAGGCTTCCTCATACCACCGGACATATCATACGAGAGATTCCACCCAATATCTGAGCATGACTCTCTTCACGTAGAAGTCCCCTTCACCAATGATTGGCACCTCGATAGCTACTAAAATGGGAGTGTCTGCCATTGTTTTAAAAATCCTTGCCTAGCGCTGTCTAGGCCCCGGCTAGGTACTAGGCGGCTGGTCACCGCATCAATTAATGCCTTTGAAAATTAAGAAAGGGCGCCTAAACCTGCTAAGGCTCCCGCCTAGAATGCCTAGGCATCCGCCTAGGTTGCAACTTACTTAGATAGAAAATAGATAACTTTCATTTTGAATTTTATTTTTTTTCATTTAATTGTAAGAGACTTGTTGAATACTTAAATGAACACACATTATAGGCTTGTTCCCTATGTTTTCATTATGTTCCAATCCTTCATAATATATATGTTATTCTATTTTGTAGTTTATGATGAAATTATAATATTTTAAGTACAAACAGACACTTATTTACATGAAATATAATAGATTTACTTAAATCCACCTAGTCCGCCTAGGCGTTAGGCCTCAGCTCGCCGCCCGACTAGCGCCTAACATCTTTTAAAACTTGATCTCTACTGGACAGGGCGAGTTCGCCAATATTTGAGTGAGCCACTCAATTGTTTCGCTCATTAACAAATTTAAGAGTTGCTCTAAGAGATTCACCTTAAACTCGATAGCAAGATACAAATTTTCTTTCTTCTAAAATCTCAAAATAAAATATCATTCACCTATGTTATCGATATATATATATATTTTTTTTCTTTCTATAAATTATCTTCAATATAGTTTTTAATTGTCTTCAACATACATAAACCTCGCATTGTATTTCTTTTTATCGTGATAAAAGGGAGTACAAAATACACCATTTCCTCACTTGTTCTTATTTGATTTTTCCTCACTTGTTCTTATTCTCTGCAATCTTACATAGAAATCAAAGCAGCTGAACAATAGTTAAAAGGGTTATTTTCCTGCAGACTCCTTTGGTGGTTTCACGATCACAACTGGGCATGTTGCATGATGTGTCTTAACACATAGAAATGAAAAGATAGAAGAAATGCGAAAAGTCAAGAAGAGAGAAAGAAGACTTTGTTATTACAGCAATAGCAGTTTCATTACATTGGAAAATGACTTAGCTCACTATCTATAGTGACTAGGATACTTGGCCATCAAGGATACTTGTAACTAACTAAAACAATCAAGACTATAGAATCATTACATGTCATAGCAGAGATTATGCCACCTGACATTCTTATGGTTAATAATGCGCACAATAGTCACTCACACTTCCTAAGAACGCCCTGCACCCACCAAAAGAAACTATACAAGTCACATAAATAGCTCTGATGATAATCCAAGACTGATGGAAAATGATTTCCAAACATCTTTTTTCTCATTCTGCACACCTATTCTCTTTGGTTATTTGATTCTTCTTTTACTATTCAACCCAATGGCAAGAACAAAGGTGTGGGGAGGGAGACAACGATGATGCTGCGGAAATTATTTTCCAAATTGATTTGTACCGTTTTCAGGTGATTGTTAATGAAATTATGTGAGGAAAATTAATAAAAATGATTTGAAAACTTTGAGTTTTAACGATAAGGACAAAATAAAGGGTAAGGTGAATAGTTCCAATATTAACTTTTTAGTATAAAAATGTAATTTTTCGTTAAAATAAACAATACCAAGAACTTTACATTAAAGTTCCCAATTATGTGTGCGCCAAGGCCACGACTACCTACGACAAGAAGATCTACATGCATCTGCTCTGCGGCCTCGCAAGTCATGTCCTTGGGATCCCCACCTAGAATTAGAGTTTCTGCTTTGATCGGCACGACACATAATTACGATACCCGTTAATTAATTAACTAAATCTAATACCACCTATGCATCAGAAAGATGCAATAGCCACTAAACAGTTGCACATTTCCAGATGATTAAAATGTACGAGGCTAACAACACATGTAAATAGTGTTGGAAAATATTAGTATTTAGGTTTACTTTAATGTTTGGTTTTCTGGGCTTAGCCCGTTAGCATTAGGGTTTAGGGTTAGTTTATTATAAATAGAGTGTTTTGTTATTCATTAGAAATCAAGTCATTCACAATGTAGTCTCTTAGGGTTTTGTAGCCGTTTCGGCATTCTCAGTTTGTTTAATAATATTCTTATTATTCTTGTTAGTTTTGTTCGTTGCGCACTCTGATATTCAACTTGGTATCAGAGCAGGTTTGATCCTTTGGGATTTAATCTGTTCTTGATTAGTGTCAATTTGTTTGTATCAGTTTTGTTTGTCAGTTTACTGGGTATTAGTTTCGTCCGTCGTCTTCCGCTCATCCGTAGTCGAAGCCGTTCTTGTCACCACCACACCGCACCGCACTGCAATATGTCCAGATAACCCGCACCACCATCTCCGCTGCTACCACCTGTTCACGGTACCCGCACCGACTCCTACCAGTCGGATCTGTCACAACCCAATGAAGTCCCCTTCTGCAAGTTGACTTTGCACTAGAAGTTTTGAAGCTTGCTGCAATTGGTTTTGCAAGCCTTGTTTGCTGCAATCGGTTTCGCCCAGAAGAAAAGAGAAGAAAGAAAGAAATATGGTATATTTGGTTGAATTTTTTGTTTGTTTGTTCGGCATCAGAATCGGCATTGGCATTAGCACTGGAATTTGTTGAATTGCATCCACCCGCTTCTTCAACGTTTGAAGAAGATGCCCGCGAGGATTGGAGTTGGTAGTATGGAAATTGCTTACTCGTTTGTTCGTTCGTTTGTTTGCTCGTTTGTTCGTTCGTTTGTTTGCTCGCTTGTTCGCTTTGTCTTGTCTTGTCCGCCTAATGGAGCTTGCATCCACATCTGCTTGTTTGCAAACTCATGTTGTATACCGCCATGAGTTTGACGGGGGGTGTTGGAAAATATTAGTATTTAGGTTTACTTTAATGTTTGGTTTTCTGGGCTTAGCCCGTTAGCATTAGGGTTTAGGGTTAGTTTATTATAAATAGAGTGTTTTGTTATTCATTAGAAATCAAGTCATTCACAATGTAGTCTCTTAGGGTTTTGTAGCCGTTTCGGCATTCTCAGTTTGTTTAATAATATTCTTATTATTCTTGTTAGTTTTGTTCGTTGCGCACTCTGATATTCAACTAATAGTATTTCATTTCTTAATGAATAAGGAATTACAATCAGGTTTATATACAACTTGGAAAATAGCTTAGTAACTAATTAAATCTAGTTAACTCATTAAACTAGTATTAGTTACATGAACAGTTGTAACAAACTTGTAACAATATTACAATTAACTATTGTGTATCTCTTTACACCCCCTCAAGCTGAATGGAAGAGGGCCGAGTGAAAGCTTGGATTGTAGATATTGAAACCGAGCTTTGGAGAGAGACTTGGTATGTATATCAGCAACTTGTTGCTGAGTATTGATATATTGCACTTTGAGCAGTTTGGCAAGAATAAGTTCACGAATGTAGTGGTAATCAATTTCCACGTGCTTTGTGCAAGCATGGAAAACTGGATTGGAGGCCAAAGATATAGTAGAAACATTGTCAAACCAAAGGGTGGAGTGAGTTGGAATGCCGCATACACACCTAAGTGAGTTCAATCGCAGTGTGCGCAAGAGATTGATATTTATCAAGGTAATGATGATCGATTTAGAGATCGCTTTTACACATAGGAGAGATAAATGTTTTGTCACTCTATTGATGATCGATTTAGGGATGCTTTTAGTTAGTAGAATATTGTTTTTAAACACTTTATTTAATTACAATTGTGTAATGATTAGATGGTTAAATCAAATTGAATTTCATGTTGCTGAATGACAAATGTGACTTTTCATTTTTGTTAGAACTAATATATGATTTTGAGTAATGCTACATAGGTTAAATTTGCGAACTAAATGATGTGTCACCAATAGAAAATGAACACGTTTATCAACGTTTAAGTAATAATCCAATTATCAAATTTCATGTCATTTAATTTACAAATTTAGTCTCCTTAGCAAGACTCATATAATTTTATGTTAAATCGCTTCAAAAACGAGAGGAGTGCTGTTGTGGAAAGTTGGAGTGCGAAAATGATCACCTCATTTAATAAGAAAACTTACATGAAGATGTAGATATATATACGCTGTCATTTTGGCCGTTCGCAACCTATATACCATGTTTCATGTTAGTCTTTTTCTTTTTCACTCATTTCATGTCTCCTGTTTTATCGTGTTTCGTGGAAAAATAATACCGAGGCACATGTACATTGGG